AAGCTAAAGAAAGCTTTCATGAAAGCGAAAACAGACATTAAATAAAATATTAGAAAATTCGCTAACTTGTGAAATTATAGCAGATTTTCATGTTTTAACCAATGGGATGGATGGATTATACAATACGCAATTAGCACCTTCTTGCATTCCTGTGCCGTTTGCTTCCCTAGTTCTTACTCGGGGCATTACTTAATGCTCAATTGCCCTAGTTTGTTATGACGTCACATCAAAACATTCTATTGTTTTATGTTTTAGCGCTAAAGGATTATGGTCCCCAAAGGGGATCAGAGTGACTGCATATCAAATAAAATGTAGATGAGCTATCAGTTTATAAATGACATATATCAAAACACGACACATTGAAGTTCTACTTTAGGAACCAATAAAAATGGGTCCAAATTTCCACTGTTTTTGAGCATCGTTTTCCGATGTAAACATACTGTGACGTCATAATGAAATAGGGTAACTATAGGAGGTTTTCTCAGATCAGGGGAATCGGCTACTTTTAGTACAGATTTTCGGAATTTTGATATTTTCAATGGTAGATTTGAAGAAACTGGTCAATTTTAGCGGATTTTCTTGAGGATTTGATCAAATTTCCATGGCGAATTCCAACACACCCCTAAGTCCCTCTCAATTACCGTCCATGTATCTTTACCTTGTTGGTTTTAGTCAGAAAATCTGATGTCAGTTGATCAAACTGGAAGGCACTGTCAACTGGGACAAAGAAAGTCAGAGATCCTTGCAGGCCGCGTATATATTYGTCTAACCCTGTGAGCTGAACAATACACAAAATAGAATTTCAAAGTAGTGAAGTTGTCCTTCAGTAGCATCGTGTTGTGCAGAAAGAAAGTCTGGCGCCCATACGCTACTGTTTAGAAAACTTTTATTTATCTCTACTTTCGTCGGTCGCCGACATCATCAGGAGAGTGACTTAGAGTGACTCTCCTGATGTTGTCGGCGACACGAAAGCTAGAGGATAAATAAATGTTTTCTAAACAGTAGTTCGACGAGTGAAGGTATCCTTTAGCAGCATGATTGTGATCAGAAAAAGAATGTTTACAAATGTAGCCAAGGCTTCACAATATACATTTTCAACATCATAGCAGCCTTGGCTACATTTGTATACATTCTTTTTCTAAACAGTAGTGTATGGCCCAGACCTCACTTTCATTTTGCAGAATGTTATTTCTATCAAATTGTTTTGTAAAGTCGAGGGGGTGGGGAAGGGAAGAGGGTATTGAGTGATAAACATACTACCTGCAGGAAAGCGGCAAACTGGGAGAACTCTTTAGTTCTTCCAATGACTTGAAGCAACGTAAGCTTGAAAGAGAAAAAAAGAACTTTAGTAACAAGACCGCATTGCATTTGTTATATTTCTGAATTAAAATGAATTATCAAATAATAATCATACGTTAATTATGTTAAATGCAAYCTGGTGTGCACAACTTTCCAGGCATTGTATGGAATTTTGAGTTCAATTGCACTTAGATAGTTATAATATCCCTTTCAAAAAGTTTATTTTTTATTCCGATATTGAATGACTTACATCAGCAGTGTCGACATAGTTGCTAAACCAAAACATCTTGTCCACAATGTGTATCATGCCATTCCCTGCTAGAAAATCTTTTCCAATGATTTTAGCCTTTATTGATGAATGAGCCGGACTGTAAAACAATGATCCCTACAAAAGGCAATGAAAGTTTTAGTCATGTCTCTCATTATAATAGATTTGTTAAATTCATTATAAGTTTGATCACATAGATGACCGGGRGCATGCTCGTCGGATCTCTTAGCGGTAAAATGATTCGTGATTGGAAATGATCTTTTCTGAACATTTGCATTTTCTGCAATCTCTTAGGTTTCGGAAAAGAAGGAAAGAGCGCATCTATACTGATTTTCCTCTGCGTTTTTATCTTTAGCACCGATTTATCAATTCAGCAATATTCATTGTGCAATCTCTTAGCGGTTATAAACCAGTCAGCCACGCCTTTTTTTTCAAGTCTTCCGAGATATTTTAAAGGTCTTTTTGAAAATTTCTGACGAGTATCCCCGGTACATTTACCCCGGATTCCTCCCTTCCCTCCACCCCCTGGTGACAATGATGTATTTGAATAAAAATTGTCAATGATTCAAAAATAAAATCTTAATAATTAAATAAAAGTTCACTTTTATATCAAACAAAGTCTTTAATCACAAAATGGAGACCTACATTGGCTTCAGAAACTCTTGCATCAGCTCCTTGCAATGTCGTTATATTTTGTAGTTTCTTGAGTGCAAATGAGTCCAAGTCAGCAGCAACAAGATGWAAACCAACAATTTGAGATGCTAGGTCAGTGTTGTTATTCAACTGCATTCTCTAATAAAAACAAAACAAAACATTGCAATTAAGTCGGATTTACGTGCAACCGGATCTTGTCACGTGCAACATAAAGTATACAATTTTCCTACGACAAGTCGTAATGTATGATTTTAAGCCGTGGTCCAAAATCTTACTACAAGTCGTAGGTTCCGTACGACTGTTATAGGCACGTCGTAGGAGGATTTACGCGGCACGATGTTTGTCTACAAGTCGAACGCGACCTGAATAGTAACATGTAAATTGACSTTTATATTGGTTCAGCTTTATATAAAATTGAGAGATGTTGTGTTTTTGGTAATCTGGGCGTGCCAGCACTCAAAGTCAATTACTCCTTTCATAGCCATGTTAAGCTTAATATATTTTCATGGCTTATGAAACTACAGCTGCTTGTAACTTTACAAGTAAAATTATTTACAGTTAAAGAGGATAAGATGAGGAGCACACATAGTCTTGGTAAGGGCTCTAGGAGAGCGGAAACAGCTCCATCCCCACCCCACCCCACCCAACCTCATCCCTTCAAGTTAGAGACGCGACGCACTACGCAGGCTAAAGCACACATTCAGCTTTCTATATTAACTATATTGAGCTAAACTGAGATCCAGACTAACAATTTCATAGTTATCCAAAAAGATCAAATTAACACCGTAAAAAAGGAGGTGAAATAACTCACAAACGCCTTCGGACGTTAATCTTTCGTCGGAGTAAAGAGAGCATGAAATTAACACTTTACTTATTTCCATCTCTTTACTCTGACGAAGGATTGACGTACGAAACGTCTGTGAGTTATTTCACCTACTTTTTTACTGTGTTAAATTTATCTTTTTACACAACTGTTTCTTTAGAAACACCGACGCAGCTCACACTAGTTTACCGCTAGTTCCCACCGTTTTAACAATTTCATACATCTGTAGGTACGGTTCATGTGTTACCTTATCATATGACAAAGAACTAATCSCTTCATCAATAGCAACAAATGCAGTAAATGGCCCAGTATCAGCAAGAGGACGAGACATAGTTTGAAGTAAAATTTGATTGATTTGCTTCAGATGTCCTTTCAMYCGTGGTGGTCCACTGTTTTCCAGTTGCTGTATTCTCTGAATTGAAAACAATCAAATAGTAATATGGTAGACAAGTGGAAAAACTAAAATATATATGATATCTTTTACGTATGAGTTAACGGAATCAAAGACACATGACGCGGGTAGCGASTWTAAGTTTCATGTTGTTACACAATCATCAGGCTACAATGAACATTCTTACACATCTCGTATTTATATCAASGAAATCCCTAAGGGGTATTRCATAAGAGAAATTTATTTCTATGTCGGCATTTTGAGATTAATTCAGTTCTTTTGTTTAGGATAGCGTTAATGTTGTTCTTGATTATAGTTAGTTTTTCAGKGAGGCACAGGTCACACTTTCTTGAGCCGCATCGGTATGATATCTTTTATGTTTTTTTAAAGGCCCAGTTTGCACCATTATGCTTTGCGCGCCTCTGTTATTATTAAAATTTTAGATAAAAAATACTTCTAGTGTTCAAAATCACAAAAGGAATGTCCGATTGTTGAAAACTCTAATATTAGCGTTGAAAGTGCTTAGAAAGTGAGATGGTCAAGATATGAGCGGATTCGAAACGCACAGTACAGTTCAGTATTAAAATCAACTATTGTATTGCTAAATGGAGAACGTTCAAATAGACTTTCGGTAAACTGAAGTGGCCTCCGCCAGGACCTCGCGGCCCGCAAAGCATAATGGTGCACACTGGGTCTTTAATATCTGGTCGACTATGAATTACTCCATGAATTTTGCGTTTCACTTTTGTAACRTCTTTGTGGYAGTRGTTTTATAATCGACRCATACAACTGTACCTCTATAATATTCCCATAGCAAACAGTTCCATTTCCACGAAACCCTTTCTTGCAATTGCACCTTTAAAGTAAATGAAAACAAGCGTGATGAAAATATAATTTCTCACTCTAATTTACATGTTGCATCATGGGAACTTTATTGTCCATAATAATAATTATTAATTATTATTATTAATTATTATTAATAATTATTATTAATAATAATTAAATACCACAAGAAAAATATGTTAATTTGTAATTATCAATAGAACAAGTACGAATCAAAAACAATTTCTCTAAATTACATATCAATTGTTATAAATGAAACAATCATTCAGATACTGAATAATCAATTTCCAGAAACTAAGCTATGGAACAATTGTCAATGTTCAAAATCTCTTTTTAAAAACATGGCATAACTTTGCTTTTTGCCCTCCTAAGCCGACCCCCCTCCCCTTCCGTTATCCCCCCTTCGCCCTCTCGTAGAGCCGCTATGTAGGCTAGTCATAATGTATACCTCTTTTCCCCTGGTTTTACCATTACACAATTGGCGTTGATGTCACAACCACCAAGGTTGCCATCTTTACACATGTCAATCATAGAGCAACCTTTGCCGATGCTAAAGTTTGAGAATCCATGCAGGCAAGAACAGTTACTCTGAAATGCAACAACATTTCTTGAAATATAATCATTTGAAATCAGTTGGCAGAGCTCTTTATCTATRATTTCTTACCTTTCCAGGACCCARAAAATTACAGACAGATGAGTTTTTTGGACAACCTCCATTATTGGCACTTGTACAAGGATCAATCACTGAGAATATCAAATGTTGTCAAATTATTCTAATCATTGACGCAGGAAAATAGCTGGATATAATAACATTACATAATTTTGTAAACTAATAATATATTGAATAGAGTATCAGGGTTTAAATTCACACTAATCTAAAATTTACTGTAAAATCCCAMTGACAAAACAAAAACCACAGAGTTAAGTTGGCAGGCCATATGTCTGCTGGTCATGGAATTAACATAGCATTTCTTTTTGGGGGTGCACAGACACAGACACAATTTTTTACAAGTCAAACATTTTGTCTTGTTTTTTGAAGATAATACATATATCATTATGAATCATGAAGTGTTCAGAAACTGTTGAGTGTAGTCAATTTAGAATCACATGTAAAGCACATTGAACTGACCTAAACAAAATCTACCATCACCAYGGTAACCCTGCTTGCATTCACACTTGTGCTTGCCTGGTCCAAGGTACTGACATATTGCTTCACTATGGCAGCCATGTTTGATRTGCCCTTTGCAAGGATTGATGGCTAGAGATGGCATAATGAGATATGATGTTGAATRCATGAATGATTACCAATTGTACCTTTAGTTAATAGTTCATGTTTACCCTGCACCATCTTGAAAGGTAACCGTGCCTTTGCATTGAAGCGAGATGAGCGTCAAGGGTGCAATGATAGATACCTGTGAATAATTGCCTGTAGGTTTGAAAGAAGGTTTCTATCGTTGCATGCTTAACGGTCGTCTTGCTTAGATGCAAAGGCACGGCTACCTTTCAAGATGGCGCAGGGAACTGTGAAGAAGACTATTGTGTTTAACCTATTA